TTTACTCTTTGAGCACTTAATCCGTGGAACATACATGCAGCTCAAGTGGTGACATAAGCGTGAATCAAGCGGTGCGCTCATCATAATTATCATACTACTGCTGTTCTTGTAAATACATATGTGACAATAACAAGCTCTTTGTGGATTCAACTGTACGTGCTGCTTTGTACAGACTTCTTATCATCCTTTTCTTGTTTTACTTTGGTCATCCTACGCGACTTGTCATCTTATTGCTTTTTTTTATCAAATCTAACAGTGTTCCATATTTTATTGGCAGCTGTACCGAGCGAAAGCATTTCCACAATTTTACAGTGCAGCTGTGAATGTCACTATGGCAGGCTAGCATTGTGTGCTCGAATATACTACTAACTATCGCACACACTTTGCCATTAGCTTCAACGCCAAAGCACAGGTGATTAGATAGTACACAGTATCACCTAGAGGGACGCGATTGGCTAACCTAGTACCAGTTGTTCGTCGGAGAGGCAACGTTAACAACCCATTACTGTCTTCGTTAATCCCCAGGGGGATTGCAGCTCCTGGCGGAGCAAGCCAAAGAACCAGCCTCCTAATAACCGCCGATTTGCATTGCTCCACTTAGATAGACGTCAGTAAGTTCATGTTTTACTTGTTTCTTTTCCAAAGAAATTCAAAGCGACAGCCTCCCTTTAATTTTAACAGTAGCATAGGTAGATTTAGATGTAGGAAAAGCACATTGTAGTAAACGTTGTATACTACTGTACAGCGAAATCCGCACATTATGAACGGGTCAAGGAATTATCACTCTTTATCCTGCTGTTTTCTTGAAGATGCAGTTTGGCATCACCCCAGCTGAATGCCTGCAACGGTAGACTTGTATCTTTCGGATGCCAGCTGTAAATACCTCCAGTGCCGGTGGACTAGTCACAGTAAGATCTCACTCCGTCGACCTCCTGCCCAGAAGCTTTGACTTCCAAATTGCATAAAGCATGCGAACTACCTTGTAACTGCAATTGTACGAAAGGATAAACATTTCAATGGGACACAGCAAAAATGACAGTATAGAATTTTGGCAGCAGTATAGTGCTTAGACACCGTATTACGCACCAAGTAACACTGATTTCCCAAGCTTGCTTCAGTTAACTTATCCTTAGATGAAGTGCTTTTGAGAGAACTCCAATGTCCAGTGAATAGGTCTGCCAAAGCAGCGCATGAAAAATTTGGGCCTGCGTAAAATTTTAGTACCTTTTTTTACTTACTACAGTCCAAATATTTTCAGAAGATTCATCTCAGCTACACTCAGCCAAACGAGCACCGTACATCGAGAAAAGTGCCAGAAGGGCCGTTTCGTCCTATTGAGACGCTGCAGTAGCGCGCATCTGTTGGATTCTGTAGAATTTCACTCCGTTATCTATTCCTTACGAGACAGCAACTTGTACTACTTAGAGTTGGGTGACGGCGGTGGACCGCTAAGACGGATTCTTAACTTCAATATACCAAGGCCTATCCTCCATTGTCATGCAACTTACGCACATGCAGCGGATAGGTCCAGCCTTCCATAACAAGCTGTGAACTTTCACGAATGTTCTTCTAAATACATCTGACATCGCGAAGCAGTTTAGGAGCGGTTTCTTGATAAAGATAATTATAATCTGCTGACCTCAATACTTGAATTTTTAGATGCTCATGACATTTTTACGGTTCCAGCATAGGAAGACCTGTATTTTTAAGCTTTGCCCACAGAACTTGCAGGCATTCTGCCAGGAACAAGATCTCGGAGAGAGGAACGATACGAATTGGACTGTTTTAAAACAGTGTGAATCTATTCTAACCCGGAAAACCAGTGCTTTGGTCTCCAGCAAAGCAAAATCCGGAGGTGCGATTCATCCGTCTTTTGCCATTATAGCAGGAATTCCCAGCGTGTCAGTTATGATCCCTCGCCTTACTTGATACCCCAACACGGGATAACACACAACACCGACAGGTTGCACCATTTCCATATCGGCGAGGTTGAAGGTGCATACAGGTCTTGATTCAGACAGCCGATTGCTACCCTGCTGGTCAAGTAATGCTGTACCAATTAGCTAGTACACAAACATGCATGCCGCATCTATTGAAATTCCATTGCAAGAATTAAAGCTTCACTATCCTCTAAATTATCGTGTGAATGGTTGTTCCGTTCGCAACTGCCAATCATGCGACTCGGTTCTTTAATAAGTTACTTCTTGCTTCATATGAGCTTTTTTCATTAAGAAGACCGGTATAGCACTCCTTTTTCGAGATCCATTTTCATAAGCGCTGGTGTTTGGAAGGGGTTAAGGTGAATCATTGAGGCGTTCATCGCACAGACACAGGAAAAGTAGCACTAATCCATTCCTTTCCACACAATAAACCTCGAGGGAGCAATGCCATTTTGCCACTACGAAGGGCCACATGTACAGACATATCACACCATCCTTTTTGTTGGGGTTCATTTCCAAACCCAGCCATACAAAAAGATTTGTAACTAATTCATTCATTTATTTCTAACAAATCAAGGGTGTATCTCAAAAACCACTGACCGACGCGCACTTATAGTAATAGCGTAAATTTAGGATTGTTTAACTCACCGATTTTTCATTCTCTTCAGTCCACTGGGAACGAAAACATGTAGCTGAGCGGCGATACAAATAGCAAGCTTGTCGGGCCAACAGATGACTCGGGACAGGAGTTGCTGAGTTAAATTCTGTTACCAAAAATAGAGATAATCACGCAACAGCTCGGCAAGTAGATTTCTCCTACTGTATGGCAAAAATGAAGGTATTCAATTGAGAGACATTAAGCAACGCGAAGCGTGTTCAGTAAGTGGATGACCTTTAACTTAGGGTATCAGATCTAGACGAATAGGCTAGGTACTTGTTGGAAACCGGAGTGAAAGATTATACGGATTAACCAAATTAGTAATTCTCGGGCTCAGTTAGCTGGGTAGCTACTCCTTGTGGGTGTCAATTCGTCAAGGAAATTTGTACAATCACGACGCGCATAGCTTTTTCGGCATAACTCATTTCTAATGATGTCCAGGCATTAGTTGATCTGTCAAACGTATGATTGGCGTGTCCGCTGTGTGTCGCTGTCGCAGTAATCTTCCGCACGATATCCACGAAGGAGTTGAAACAGAGAGACTGTTCGTCGCTGACCAGTGATGGTCTATCGGGAAGATAACTGATAGTGAATCTATAGTCCATCAACGGCGCTCTCTACCCGGGATAGGAAACAAGGACGAAACTAAGAGTGGAAAATGGCGTTGAAAGGAAGCAGCATCGAAGGTTTGTCTGTTTTAACCATTTTTCGGTGCCCTAACTGACTGAGGTTTACTTTAAAGAAACTGGCTGCCACAGTGAGATTACACAATATCACCCATCCTCTCGAAACTAACTCAGTTTCCCAACGGTAATGAGGCTCTCCAAAAACAGATATTGTGCTGGGTTTTAATAACAATATGATTAGAAAACCGTTTGCTATCTATGATGCGCAGTAGGCTGCGAATCGCAGTTGCTTTATTTCACCATTGGCCTACAAGCGAACTTCCACTGGCCGGTTATTATATGGACCAGTAATGCAGAAATGGTTACAAATGGTCCGTGTTCAGTTGTGTGCTGACGGCTGGGCCCCAGCCGATCTTAAGTACTTGCCAGTGCTATGAACCAACACAGTTCCGATATCAACCCCTTGCAGTTACTACAGAACTGGTATAGTCTGAGCATTCCGAATTTCTAGCCGGTACCCTGTATACCAGGGATAAGGCAGATAAAATTCATTTGCAAACTTACTGACACCTATCCCGTCATGTTTAGCACATCGCTTCTCTGCCGCTGTGTTCTCTACTGCTACCAAAATTCCTTTATGTCGGAGACTAACATAATCCTCATATGTTTGTTTAGTTTGTGGTCAATGTACAAGCAACTAGTTTTATACTTCTTCTCGGTTCACTCGCTGCGTGTCTGCTCTATGTTTCAATTAGTGATATTGGTGCGTGTTGGCCCACAGTGTTGGCCCAACACAGTTGTTATGCTGCTGCGTTGCTTTTGTGTGCCCTTGGTCAAGGTGATTCGGAAATTTGGTTAAGGTTCTAAACGAAACCGGCCCAATTGCTAAATTTGGCAGCACCAACCATCTACCCGGATGGAGTTCGTGATATCAGTACCCCTAGATGTGTGATAACATTATACCTTTCAGTGATTAAGTAATCAGGAGCAATTAATGAATAAATAAATAAATGAATAAATTGTATATGGCTCGACGATGCGAGAAGCCGTTCCCAGAAGGGACGGATCAAATAATGGTACAGCAGTTTCATATCATGGTATAATAAATTTTAAAAAAATGTGAGCACAAAATGAAAATTTGTATAGCGCGAAGCGGTCCAGAATATTTACATTCCTCTTGTTCTATCGTCTGACAAGTTTTTAGCAGTCACATGAGAGTTGATCGCACACGAGAAAAAAAAGAGAATAAAGTGCTGCGGGCCAACAAAATATAACCACTTGTGCACTTGATCACATGCATTTTCAGGCACCATTAACTCCGTTCTCAAAAGCGTTATCTAAGGACCGTGCTGTTCGAAACATTATTATCACATTTTGAACGGTTAAATAATCTTTTATCGAAAGCTTAAACAAACGCAATGTGCAACAAGTTCTGATAGCTCTTGGAAGTTTGTTCCAAAGCTTTGAGCAATGTAGTAAGAAGAAACGCTCCCTAATTCGCGTATTGAACTTTGGAATCATGACCGTTGTCTCCTTATTTCGTAGCTCGTATCTAGTGTTAACGGCCATATGGACACAGTTAGCATAATTGTGCATGTGATGGTGAATTATTCTGTACAGGAAACACAAGTTCATCTTCATTATCCGTAGCCCAAGTGGGTCAAGTCCAAGTTTTTCACTGCGCTCTCTGTAGGTCATCTTGGAGGAATCTCCGCACAGCTTCTTTGTAAAGCGTCGCTGTACCCTCTCAAGAGCATGCTGGTCAGATTTCCGCAGATTCGACTGTAGTAGTGAGCAGTATTCTATGCCAGGTAACACATATGTTTTATAAAGCCAGATACGAGATTCCGTGAGTTGAAATTTATGACAGATATAGCCAATAGTCTTCATGGCTTTCGAAACTTGGAAGTCACAATGTTCCGAAAAGTTGAAGGTAGTGGAATACCGCACACCCAAGTCGCGAATCACTTTGCACTGTGATATAAACGTGCCTTGTAATAATAGACTATCTGGTGGAACTTCGTATCTGTACGACAGAATATTACATTTGTCCACGGAAAAGGACATCTGCCACAGTTTGCTCCAGGATTCAAGTGCCGATAGATCTTCCTGAATGTGGCACAAGGCTGCGCGGGTATCTGCACGTTCTTGTGAGTAGACGATTTTAATGTCATCAGCAAACAGAAAAGTAGCACCATGTCTTATTCTATGAAATACATCGTTGACGTAGAGGAGAAAAAGAAGTGGACCAAGTACAATTCCCTGAATTACTCCACTGGTGACTGTTTTCGGTTTAGAGACACGGTCCCCAATACGCACCACCTGATGTCTGTCAGCTAGGTATGACGACAACCAAGAAAACATTGGTTCTCCAATACCTATTTCTTTCAGCTTGAGGAGTAGTCTTCGATGCGGCACTCTGTCGAATGCTTTTTGCATGTCTAAGAACAGGACAATAACACTGTTGCCTTTGTCTATGGCAGCCGTTGTGTGGTTTAAGAAGTCTGTCTGGCATGTCGCACAAGATCTGCCCTGCAAAAACCGTGTTGTGAATTGTTGATGACGTTTTTCTTATTCAAGAAAATAAGTAATTCATCTTTCACTATCCTTTCCATAATTCTAGATATTACAGGAGTGTGGTTGATGGGGCGATAGTTTTTAATTTCGTGAACGTTTCCATTCTTATGCCGCGGGATAACAACGGAAGTCTTCCAGTGCTTAGGATATACTGCACTGTTAAAAGAGAGCGTAAAAATGTTGAGTAATAGAAGAGACAAGTCGCTCCCACCGCTTTTCAACAAACAAGGGGGAATTCCATCAGGTCCTGGGTAAGTCGAGGAAGACAAGCGGGAGACTTGACCGGAGATTTTTGCAATGGTGAATTCCACTGTGCATAAACTTTCAGCATTGTGTGGTGTGACAAGCGCTGGTGTGGCTAGCGGTTCCTCAACCATTGATTCGGCGAAATAGGCGCTGAAAGCCTCACAAATTTCACCCGGAGCATCAAGGTACGTGCCATCCGGCATTATGATAAAATTGATGGAATTACTGCGACGCAAACCTCTGGCACGAAACAGTTTGGGCAGTTCCGTTGTTTTATTCGGGCCATCCAAAGCTTTGTATTCTTCTAATATGAGATTGCGAACATTTAGATGCCCGAGTTCCTCGATGATCTTTGCCTGCTGCAGTATTAGCGCAAAGTCTGCTGTTAATCTAAATTTCCGCCGGATCTTATGTAGCTTGCGTGTGATACCTAACACTTTGCGATCGGGTTTTTGTTTTCTTAGGCTGACACATTTTATAGGCACTAATGAATCAATGCAAAGACCGATGATATCATAGAACACGTCTGCTGCTTTTTGAGGGCATGGAGAGAGGAAGAAATCATCCCAGTTCATCGAACGAACCATATCCTTAAACGTGTTCCAGTTGACGGAGTTGAATAAACGATAGTGCAGTGGGTGTGGTTCGTTGGCCATGCGTAATCTTAAACAGCATTTGACCACCCGATGGTCGCTCCCAGGGAATTCATTAAGGACCGTTACATTAATAGCAGGTATGCCCAGTGAGAAAATGAGATCAGGGATGCTGTTACTTCTGGTAGGTTTGGAGACATGTTGTTGCCAACCATTCATATGAATACAAGAGATAAGATTATGAAATTTCAGAGGAGCAGTTCCTGCAGACCATGCAATCGATGGCAGATTGAAATCACCACCGATAATCTTGTGTTTAAACGGAAGGCTTGCGGCACACTCAAATGCAGACGTCAAAACTACTAAATCCTCTTGGCTACAGTTTGGCGTGCTGTATATACAACCAACAAGCAGTTGCTGGTGTCTGATCGTTATCGTAAGCCAAAGTGACTCTTGCACATTATTCAACACTGGATTCTCGAATGTCGTTGCTGCCAGCGATTGTTTCGCGTAAAGTACACATCCTCCTCCTCGACGACACTGCCGATTTCTCATAAACATATCATATCCGAAAATGGTTAGCTGGGTGTTAGACATGTCGTCATGGCACCACGACTCAGTTATAAATATTATGTCAGGATCGGTCACAGAAACAAATGAGCGTAGTATGTGGATCTTGGAATGCAGCGAACGAATATTAATCAAAAATATTAACATAGATGCGAGATGTGAAGAACGTTGTTTATGCTGCTTTATGAACATTGGGTTTGATAGCTTTGTGTCTGTGCCCATGCCAAAAATTGGTGAAACAAGGCGTGGATTGACACCTTCGTTGAAAAGGGATTGGGAGGTAGCCACAGGGGAGGGGGTTGTGACTGAGTATGGCCCTGTAGAAAATGGGATACGGGGGCGGGTTCATGGTAAGCATAGTAGCTCATGCGGGCAGGAGGATTATAGAGCGGGCTTCCATGGAACTCGCTAGTAGACGCTAAATTTCGAGGCTGTGTCGCCTGCGTCGTGGCACTAATAGCTTGTTGATTGTATAGATTGGTGAAATGAGTAAA